CTGTCTTTGGGCAGAGTACGCTCAGGGTCTTCTCTGTCAAATGACAGAGGGGCAGCTGAGAAAATTATACGGAAGAGGTGGCCAGCCCTGGGGAACGGCTGCCCGAGGCCGCGCCCTCCCATTGCACCAGAGGGAGGGATTGGTGCTCGCACCGAGGCCAGCGCAACCGATGGTTGCGGGGACTGAGGGCAATTTTTGTCCCTGTCCCGGGCGTACGCGCCCGGGTCCCCACCTAAAAAAGACCTTATGTCACATCTCGTCCAAGTGGGGAGAAGGAGTTAATACCATATATTTTGCATGACTATCTCTTATCGTTGCCTGTTCCTGATTTGATGGGGTCTCATCGTGATGTCCGGTTTTTGCAGTTTTCGTAATCCGTAAAGTGTGGCTATTTTCGGTTGGGGTCCGTTTTTTTTTTTTATTTTCCATTTTATTTTAGCAATTTCTTGATTTTCCTTTTTTTAATTTTTCTCTGTCATTTTTATGTATTCATTGTATTTTATCGTAAATAGTACCGTCATCAAGGAGGTATCTCATCTTTTATTGGTAAATGTGTTTGTCCATAATTATAATTCCACTGCCTTTGCCGGAAGGGGATATATGAATGCTTTTGTTGTTTAATATTTCCTTCAGGGCTTTTATATATCTGCGGTGTGTGTGTGTGGGGGGGATTTCTTTTGTTTTTTCGAGTGTTACTATAATTAGACTCTGAATTTATCCTTTGTTGAAATATGTGTCATTGGCGGAAAGGGATATATGAATGCATTTGTTGTTTAATATTTCTTTCAGGGCTTTTATATACCTACAGAGAAGTGAGGTTTCATTTGTTTTTTTCGAAAGTGGCTTTTCGGCTAATTTGAGGAATAGTTATGAACGTTATTAAATTTTATAAGTTTTGAAAAAAAATCAATAACATTTTTGCTTTTTATCTTGATAAAATCCCTCAGCGGACAAAACGCGTCGGTTAAGATAAGCTTTCCTTTTACAAATTGTCCTTTTACAAATATACTTAAAAACAATTACACACACACACACACACACACACACACACACATATCATCATCATCATCATCATCATCATCATCATCATCCCCTTGACTTTTGTAATCGTAGGTCGGATCCCAATGCAGAGGGCACACTAACTCTTTTCCACAACGGTCTATCAACGGTAGCCTTCAGCAATTCTTGTCCAGTCATACCTGTCCATTGTTTGACATTGTCCAACCAGCTTTTACGTTGGCGTCCTCTTCTTCAAGATTAGTGTTAAAATTTTGCTTAGTGTCTCTGCTAGTTGATGTGGGGTGCTACCTATTCTTGATATAATGGATTTCCGTTTTATGCATTTTTGATAATCCGTAGTGTGGCTATTTTTGGGTTCGGCCAGGTTTAGTTTTTATTTTCCTTTTTTTAAGCAATTTCTTGATTTTCCTTTTTTTAATTTTTCTCTGTCACTTTTATGTATTCATTGTATTTTATCGTAAATAGTACCGTCATCAAGGAGGTATCTCATCTTTCGTTGGTAAATGTGCTTGTCCATAATTATAATTCCACTGCCTTTGCCGGAAGGGGATATATGAATGCTTTTGTTGTTTAATATTTCCTTCAGGGCTTTTATATATCTGCGGTGTGTGTGGGGGGGATTTCTTTTGTTTTTTCGAGTGTTACTATAATTAGACTCTGAATTTATCCTTTTTTGAAATATGTGTCATTGTGTCAGTGTCATTTTTTGGAAATACGGTGGAAAATTTTAGGCTAAATCTAAGAGCTTTCATTTCTGTATCGGATTATATAAATTTCGATAATTTTTAAATTATATCCTTTCTGTCGGCTTTAAACCATTTGCTTTTCGAAATTAACGTATTTAGTTTATTTTGTGAGTTAAGGATTTGCTTATTGTTGTTCTTGAACTGACCGAAATTATTAAATTTATTTTGTTCAGCCGTTCTGGGTGAGACGATAAATTACATCCGTGTCCTGGGTAAGACGATAAACTCCATCCAGCATCAAGGCCTTTGGTCAGAAGTTTTTGAGGAGCGCGGAACCACCTCTTAATTGCTGGTGTTCCCAGGTCCACCCTGACCCGAGGTGGTAGTATCTTTTAGGGTCCCAGCTATGGGCAAATAGTTGACCCCCAAACTGGGTTCAAAACACTATGAAAGTGTAAAAATAGGTTTCAGTACCAGCAGTACATTTTTGCAAAAGGTTATTACCAGCAGTGAATTTTTGCTGACAAGATTATTACCAGTAATACATTTTTGAAGAAAAAAATATTACCAGAAATACATTTTTGGAAAAAAATATTACCAGCAGTAAAAAATCTTGTCGGTGTTAAATAAGCCATTGAGGTTGATATGCCGAAACCCAAACCAAACCAAACCAAACCAAACCAAATCAAACCAAACCATTCCATTCCGTTCATGATTATTTAGGGTGTTGCTGTGATGGAGATTATTTCCTATTTTGTATGCCCTGTCAAAAGGTCTTGCTTCTTTTTTTTCAGATTCATGTGCTAAGGATTTTAGGAATATGTGTGCATAGAGAAGAAATATATGGTATACTGTTTTGATTAATTTATGTGAGCATTGAGGAATATCTTTTTCTTCAATGCAGTCTTTAAGAAAGTTTTTTTCTCTATCTGAAAAAATGTGCGGATATTAACAATTGTTAATCTATTAATATAGCGTATATCTGTAAAAGGAGAACATGAATAAAGACAACAGGAAAACTTAGCCGGCGCTTTTTGTCCTCTGAGGGACTTTATCAAGGAAAATACGAGGATTTTATTTTGTAACAAGTATTTACATACAAGAGTAAAACTGTTGTTGGTTTTTCAAAGTTTTTAGGCATAGGAACATTCATCGAATTAGCTGAAAAATCAGACAAGGACATGAAGTGACACAATTCACTTTCAGTTTTTTTTTAAATTATGCTATTTATTATCAAGGAATTGATAGTAAGTTAATGTCTCATTAAGTTATGTTAGCGAAGTGATTTCACCATTAATCACATTAACATTACTATTTAATTCTTTGTATAAATTGTTTCTTTATATATATATATATATATATATATATATATATATATATATATATATATGCAAAAAGAAAACTTAACTTACTTGGCTCATTTCGTCCTCTGAGGGACTTTATCAAGGCAAATACAAGGATTTTATTTTGTAGCAAATATTTATATTCAAGAGTATAATTGTTGTTGATTTTTCAAAATTTGTTGGTATAGGAACGTTCATATATATTTATCGTGTTAGCTGAAAAGTCAGGCAAGTTATGGAGAACATGAAGTGACACAATTCATTGTCTTATAAACGAAAGTGACTAAATGATTTTTCACTTTTTATATGGAGATTATTATTTAAATTATTTTAGTTTGGGATTAATTTATGTATATATATTTTGAATAACATGAGATTATGGATTTAATCATTTCTCTTAATTTTTCAACATTTTTATACTCATAAATCTTGGATTTCGAAAGTAGTCGTTCTTTTAGGAATGGAAATATTTGAAAAAGATAAATCTGCTCTCCGGATTTTTCCGATACATAGGCAAAGACTAAGTATGTGTAGACTGAAAAGATTTTTTTTTTAATTATGCTATTTATTATCAAAGAATTGTTAGTAAGTTAATGTCTCATTAAGTTCTGTTAGCGAAGTGATTTCGACATTAGTCACATTAACATTGCTATTTAATTCTTTGTGTAAATGGTTTCTTTATATATGTACATATTTCGTGTTGGTGAATTAAGATGTGCTGTTTGGACTGAGCAGGCGTATGGTGGTACACAAGAGAGTAGTAAGATATGTCGATCCAATCAAGGATACAGAGTATATTTATCATATATATATATATACATAGGTTAGGGTCCATGAACACTGAAATGAGACGGAAGCCATCCCAAATTATGTGGGGGATGAGTGGGTGGTAAGACGTGGCAATTACCATATATGTGGAGGTGCATGTGTACGCGAAACGCTATTTACTTTCATATTTCTTTATTATGTGTAAAAATTTCAAATAGAATAGATCTGTAAAAAGACAGTACGAATAAAGAAAAGTGAAAACTTATCTTTCGTTTCGTCTTCTGAGAAAGTTTATAAAGGCAAATACAAAGATTTTATTTTGTAAATGGTATTTATATACAAGAGCAAAAATTTCTTTTAATTTTTCAACATTTTTCTGCTCATATATCTAGGCTTTGAAATCTTGAATTTCGAAAAGTAGTCATTCTTTTAAGAATGGAAAGATTGAAAAATATGAATCTGCTCCCCGAATTTTTTCCTATATAATATTTGTAATTGTTATTATAATGTTTTGTGAAAGTTATGCTCAAATGTTTAAACGACGTGATTGAGAAATTTGTACGAATGTTTTATTCTAGAACTCACCATGATCTTATTCAATGATTAACGGAAGAATTCATCAGAAATTTAAAATAAGAAAACCGTGAAGTTTTCACTGTTTAAAACTAGTAATAACAATTTTAAGTTAAATCCCCAAATGATATAACCGGATAGATTTATTGTATCATAGTTTCTGCTTACGCAGAGTACATGATAAAAAATGGTTGTGGCCACCTCACCGCCACGTTCTTGTCATACATTCTGATAAGGCACAACTTGTTTTTCACAGTGAATTATATCAGATAATATCATGTCAGTCACTCGCAACTATCAAAATATATTCATGGAAACCCTTCGACAGTCTTACCTCATCCTCAAAAAAAAAAAAAAAAAAAAAAAAAAAAAAGTCTTGTGTGTCTTTTAATCTCTGGTGATATTTCGCAAGTGTGGTGTGTCTTTGTGTCCCAGCGTGTCACCAGGCTTCGTATCAGCCTACCAGTAAATCTATTGGTTCTCATTTCTCGACCCATACACTTTTTCAAGACCTTTATCTATATGCTTAGATATATATATATATATTTAGTTAAGTGAACTTATCTCATTGCGTAACGCTTATATTTTTGTTTTGCTTTCTTGAAGCGACATGAAAACATCCCGCCAAACCATGAGAAACCAAATTATTTCTTGCTTGGTGTTTGTCGCTTGTGTTGTCAATGCAATGGCCAAAACACCCTACAAAACTTGCGGTAAGTAATATTAAATCCCTTTTACATTATTCAGTAGCCAAAGGGTATAAATCAATTTCGCTAAGATGTGACGTCATTATTCAGTTAATTACTCTTGTATCTTTATATTTGCTGATGGAATATATTAGCATTATTTTAAGAAACTAGATTTTATTTTTGGCAACAAACTGACACGTGTTGAAATTCTCACAGTATTTTGAATTGTTGAAGTCATCGCTAGCATTTTTCTTGAGATTTAAAAACGGTATGTTTCGTTCAATTTCGCAAACCAATCAATAAAATTTGAATAAACAGATTTGTTTGGAAAAAAAAAATAATTTCTTAAATTTAATTTAACTCCATATGACTTCAAGGCAAACAATATTTTTAAGAACATTTCTTTTTTCCTTTCTATCAGCGAAGAATAAATTCTTAGGATTTCTTACACTTGAGCATACATCATACAACTGGCCATACGTAAATATTTCTTTCTGGAACAAAATTTGAATTTTTTGAAGCGTTTGGCCTTGTGATTTGTTTATAGTTCTCGCAGACGCGAAATGGAAACTGGATTCTTGTATATATAAAAAAGAAAATATGGAAAAAAACAATATTGCCTTTTTTAATAAATAAGTATATGTTATTTTAATCATTAAATTATTTTTAAAATAGGGGGAGTGTTTTGTATGCTAAATAATAAAACTTTTAATTCTTCCCAAAAAATTAATGAAAATTTATTGTACTAAACAAGGCACCCAATTGTATTTTGTAGAACAGTTTTCAGTTCTCCTCAAAATTTGCTTTCAATTGGTCAATGTATTGTTATTTAGAGGGTATGACCGACGGACAAACGGAAGTCAGAGAATTCTATATATAGATAGATTACTCAAACTGGTATCATTAGATTTGCTGTGTGGATACAACAAGAATAAAGCAATTTTGCTCAAGAAATTATTCTTGTAATGACGGACGGACAAACGGAAGTCAGAGAATTTTATATATAGATAGGTTACTCAAACTGGCATCATCAGATTTGCTGTGTGGATACAACAAGAATAAAGCAATTTTGCTCAAGGAGTTATTCTTGTAATGACGGACGGACAAACGGAAGTCAGAGAATTTTATATATGAATAGGTTACTCAAACTGGCATCATCAGATTTGCTGTGTGGATACAACAAGAATAAAGCAATTTTGCTCAAGGAGTTATTCTTGTAATGACGGACGGACAAACGGAAGTCAGAGAATTTTATATATAGATATTAAAAACTGGCATCATCAGATTTGCTGTTGGATAAACTTATTCTTGTAAACAAAACATAATAAGAATAAAAACACGTTTGCTGGTGGACTTCACTAACATGGTTAGATTTGGATACAAGGAGAATAAAACTATTTTTGCTAAAATGGAATATTAAAATTATTCAATGAATTAATCTAACTCGTATCCTTATATTTGTTGTAACAGTTAATTGGAACATAGAATAAAGCTTTTTTCTTTGGATATTATTTATTTTTTTTATCCCGTCACCCGCAGCCGCAGTAGAAGTTGCATTAGCATTGCTTTTTGTCTCCTTTTCATAATGTCAAGAATTTAATCTGTTATCTATTCTTTTCTTTTTTCTTTCTCTGTTTATCTTTGGGAAGATCTCGATTGCTGACGTTGTTAAAGCTTCTCTTAATGAGTGCTATTCCATTTTGTCCACTGTATCTGGTTTTAACTTTGTAAATATATTTCTCCTTCACATTCGGGTCATTCAGGTGTCTGTTGTATTGCAATTTGGCTGCAGCCTTGACCCTCTTCAGTTTCTGTAGTTTCATTCTAGGTACCATAGCAAAGAGCGATATTTATTCTGCTACGTACGGAAATATGGCACAAGACAAAAATGCGGAATGGGGAAAAGGACGGTCTTTTTCTGTCTTAACATTAAACTTAACTAGCCACAAACACTGACCCAAACATACAAACAATATTCCTAACATCAAAACAACGCATTCTTACTTAGCTTTCTTACTACATTCACCATAATACCTCATGGTCTCTCCGACCTGGGTAAGACGTTAAACTACGTCTAGCAGCAAGGCCTCGGATCAGGAGGTTTTAAGGAGCGTGGAACCCCCTCTTAATTGTTGGTGTTCCCAGGCCCACCCTGTCTCGTCGGTGGTAGCACCTGTTAGGGTCCCAGCTATGGGCAAATAGTTAACTATTACCAGCAATACTTTTTTCAAAAAATTATTACCAGCAATACAATTTTGAAGGAAATATATTACCACCAGAAACAGATTTTTGACAAAACAAAATATTACCAGCAATAAAAATTTTTGTCGGCATTAAATAACCCACTGAGGTTGATATGCCGTAAATCAAACCAAACCAAACCAAACCAAACCTCATGGTCTCTATGAAAATCTTAACTGGTCCCCATACGCACAATTCAGTGTATCTGGGGGGTATAAAACAACAATTTAAAAAGTAGCGCCATTGAGGTATTTACAATATGAAAACAAAACTATTTACAATGCCTTGACCTTTGATCCCTGTCCTTCTTTTTATCCTTTTCCCAAACACTCCTATTTACCTATTTACTCTTACTCTCACTCTCAGTAACCTCTTGCGTGCTAGTGGCACTCCCGCCTTGTTTGGGGTGATATACACCCCCCCCCAAAAAAAAAAAAAAAATCAAAGAGCTCAACCGAGCAATTACTGTGAAAGCATTTATAGAAAAACAGAGAGAGGCAAATTTGCCGCGGTGGGAAAGTGACTGAAGTTGAGATGCCAGATCAGGACGAATAATATTGCCGATTCTTCTTTGAGCTCAAAGTAAATAAATGTGATAGCAATATTTAGTGTGTAAATTGGCTGAGTTTGGTGGCTAAATTACATATGAATCTAGACATTTATTAAACAATTAATTTGATGATTTACCGCATTTAGTGTTGCTGAATTGGCATTTGATATTTATTTAATGATTTATTTTTCAGGTTCTAAGTTGGGTGTGGCTACAAATGTTTCTGTTAGTGGCTGCGATTCCTCTCCATGTATACTAAAAAAAGGATCCAGTATTAAAATAACGGTGAATTTTACTTCCCGTGAGTATAAATTCTCTTGTTCCTTATTATCTGAGAAAAGAGAAATTGAAGAGCCAACTTCAAATCCCAGTCGTATTCGTCACATTCAATTACGCGCAAATACCCTTAGAAAATTTATGAATCCTTATTGGCCCCCATGATATGGGTTAAATAGTGGTAGTTGTATGTGGCAAAATTTTAGTTGTCTCCCAAAAATTGTTAATGCAAAATTCATTCGGAATTCAAAATATATTTCGGTTTTAAATAATTCATAAAGGGTTGATAAACCATAAAAAAAATCAAGTAATCTCGAGAGCTCCCAATTTTTATGTTTAAGTAATGCTCTAAATATGGCATGTTTTAGTTCTGAATGATTTTGTGCGTTTGTAATCGAGTTCTCCACACGTTCTAAAGAACTAAGATAGACAAATGATGGTCGTCCATTTTGAGATTAGATTTCAAGACACACAAATCCAACTTTTAAACTCTTAAACTAATTTTGAGCGCTAAAGTCAAGTACTGTTTGTTTTCTTTCGATTTCCTGAATTCTGCGAATAATTTAAAATAATGCATCAAAAATATTGGTGGTCGATGAATTGTAGTAAGCTTTTCAATTTATGATTAGTAAATATAAATTTTTCGTAATGTCAATATCACCTAACCAACACAAATTAATACAGAAATTTAAAAGACTTCAAACTTTATAAAATATTCTAATCAAAATTTAAAAAAATGAAAATGATTCCTGTAAAAAGGCACTATTTATCTAAAAAAATTTTAAGACAATAGCGTCCATAATATATGTTATTCAAAAAGCAATTAAAAGATTTTTTTTTTAATTAACTAATGTCTTTGTTTTTATTTTACGATTCAGGGCAGATAACTGAGGTTCCTGTTTTACAAAAAAAAAAAAAAAGAAAAAAAAAAATTCATGATTTAAATTCTCCAATGATTTTTGCGTCTAATATAAGCATTAAGCAGTAAAAATTAATTTATCGAAATTTCATAAAATTAAATAAGTGGTAGGTAACATATGTAAAAAAAAAAATGCTTTTATCGTGATTTTCTAAATAAAAAGAATTATTTCTGAAATAATTTAATTTGGTTGTGAATAAGTCTTGAAAGTTTTATTAAAATCCAATAATTATTTGATTACGGCAATAATTTCGAAATCCGTGGGATTTTTCGCCGTAACAAAGACGAAAATTTCTTATGCTAACCTTTGGTCTCTTGCCCCGCCCACTGACGCAAGAAAAACAAGATTTTTAAGCAAAATTTCGAACGTTCTAAAAAAGAACAAAAATATAATCTAATATTGCGAAAATCCTTTAATCTTTCCTCTTAATAATAAAGATTTTGATGATAAAACATTGTTTGGAGCATTTTTTTTATTATGGTAAGGTAATTTTTAGCGAATCTATGGATGCACCTATATATATGAATATTAATATACAAGCACATATTTTGTATTGTAAGTTTCATTTTTATAATTGAATTTGAATTGAAGCCTCAGTTTTGAAAACTGGGAATTCCAGTGTTGCGATGATTATATATTTTCAAAAAACTATTATAATTTATATATTATATATATATATATATATATATATATATATATATATATATATATATATTTATAAGAGATAATTAAGTAATTCAACGAGATTATATCTTTTCAACTTCAAAATGATAATAATCAACTTCAAAATGGACTTATTTTCAGGTAAAAAAATTAATTAACTCTAAAATGGATTAATCAACTTCAAAATGGATCAATCAATTTCAAAATGGATTAATCAACTTCAAATTGGAAAACAACTTCAAAATGAGAAATAATTAACTTCAAATTGGATTAATCAATTTCAAAATGAGAATTAATATAATACTAATAAATTTAATATTTATTCTTTTATTTTTACTTAAAAGGGATATAAAAAATATAAACGTTCCTAATAAATTTATTTAAAAGATTACATCATCTAAGTTAATTACAGAGGGAAGTAATCTCTGTATTCCAGATACGAAGTTAGTGCAAGTCTCAGGGGAAATATTATTAACTGCCTCGGAGATCATCGCTTCTAACTTGCTGAGGCGGAATTCTTTTGTAGTTAAAGATCTCATCACCTCTTAAAATCCCAACAATTGAGTCTGCCATACTTCTTTTTACGTCAGCTTTAATGACTGACCAAACCTTTTCAATGGGATTTAACATCAGACTATAGGGGACAACTCTGAAAATTTGGTGTTGCCTAAATTCATCCTCCTCCACAACTTCTTCAATTGAAGTATGGCAAGGAGCGTTATCCATAACTAAGACAACTCCCTTTTCATAAATTTCATTTGCCTTTCTAAGGCACTCCCTGGTCCATTCTTTCGCATCCTCTTTTTGAAAGAACCTCTTTTAATTTTATGATGAATTAATCCATTATTACTAATACATCCAATAACATGGATGTTATTTCCCCTCCGGGCCGCGACTGTAGTGCACCTCGGGCTTTTTTTTTTCGACCTTCTCTTCTTGGAATATGGAAATTAAAATTGGTTTGATCCATATAAAGAATTGGCACACTTTGGGACTGAAATTCTAATAAAGTTACTTCGTAATCCTTACGTTTCGCCTTATTGACATTATTATTGGCAGCTTCTGGTTCATAATGAACCGCTTTTAAGTAAAGGCCATGGAATCCAAGTGCTTTCTTATGCATTCTTTCGTCACACGAACCTCATACTTTTCGACCAACCTATTTACAATGTTTTGAAGAGTGACCCCTAGGAGAGTTTTCAATTAATTCGGCCATGAAATTTTTATGCTCTTGCGTAATTTTATATTTTCTTGCTCCTCCCCTAGAGTTAATCTTATCAGCACCCTGGTCTAACCAACGGTACGCTGTTGGCAGAGGCACACCAATTGTTCTTGCCAGGTCTTTCCAATTTCCTGCTGCAGCATGTGCAGCTAAAATCTGGGCCTTTTTTTTTTTTCGCCAGCCACAGTTTTCTTGAGATAAGTCCTCTTTGGAGCTGTTGCTAATTCTTCTTCAGCTTCTTTTGTAGAGGTTTCTCCAGCAACATCATCAATCATCATTTTTGCCCATACGAGACTTTCTCCTCCTACTTTTTCTGTAGGCTCACCCAATGCTTTCTTGGCCTCTAAGTTGTTTGTATTTTGTTTTTTTTCTTCATCTATATAATGAAGACGAACAGTCAATGTCCTTAGTCATTGGGTAAATTAATTGAAAAAATAATTTTCAATTTAGCAAAAAAAAATATCTCAATTTGAAGTTGTTTATTCTTATTTTGAAGTTGATTGTTTTTAAGTTTTTGTCATTTTCTCAATTTGAAGTTGATTAATTTTTTTACTTGAAAATAAGTCCATTTTGAAGTTGATTATTATCATTTTTAAGTTGAAAAGGCATGGAAGAAATCTCAAGGGAATGGAGAAAACACTGGACGGCCGTTTCGCCCTATGTTTGGGACTCATCAGTAGTGTGCATCCACTACCAAGAATTGAAACCGGGACAGTTATGTTATCAGGCAAACGTCATACCAACTGTACAAATAGGCCTCAGTGACGAAGGGGTAACAAATTAGACTCGATATAGCGCTGCTCGATCATATATTCCGTGGTGGAACTCATCCAAGCTTCTCTCTTACCCATAGGACTGTGCCCCCACGAGCCACGACTACTATCCCCAAGCCGCTCCATCCAGAGCATTAAAAGCCGGTTCAAGCAAGGATATACACGTGATAGAAATTAGGAGGATTTGTGATAATTATAATTAAGTAATTTCTTCTAGACTCGATGAATTAATTATAATTATCACAAATCCTCAATAAAGGTAGTGGATGCGCACTGCTGATGAGTCCCAAATATAGGACGAAACGGCTGTCCAGTGCTTTCTGCATTCTCTTGAGGTTTCTTCTAGACTTGATGAATTACTTATATATATATATATATATATATGAAACCCAATGATAAACCACTGTACATACATACATCCTCCAATCACCCGCCTTCGATAATCAAACAGATACCAAAATCGATTAACCGCAGGCTTTCCGACAACCCTTCCAATGAAACCATATTTAACGAAGTTAAGAAAGACTACGAAACAGTCCTAAAAGATAGTGGATTCCCGGCAACACTTGCATACTCACCACAGAGCAAAGGAAAGACCAACGGGAGAGAGAAATCTCATATGGTTCAACCCACCGTACAGCAAAAACGTAAAAACAAACGTAGGTAAAATATTCTTCAAACTCTTAAACAAACACTTCCCGGAATCAAGCACTCCACACAAAATATTCAGTAAAAATATTGTAAAAATCGGCTACAGTTGCACCGAGAACATGGCACAAATAATAAAAAAGCACAACAGGAAAACTATCAAGAAACCACCAGAACAAATTAAACCGACGTGTAACTGTAGAATAAAGAATAAATGTCCCTTCAACGGTAGTTGCTTACAAAACAACGTAATATACCAAGCCACAGTAAAATCACCAGATAATGATGAAAAAGTAAACATAGTAGTAACTGAAGGACCCTGGAAACAAAGAAACTATGCACACAAAGCACCTTTCACAAATAGTAAATACGCGAACAGCACAATGTTTTCCAAGTATATCTTGTAAATTAAAAGCAAAACACAAATCAAACCAAAGATATCATGGAAAATAAGGAAAAGATCAACAACAATCAATCAAACACCTGCAAACTTTGCTTGGAGGAAAAAATAACTATTATTACCTTCCTAGACCAAAATAACTTATTAAATAAACGATCTGAGCCCATCTCAAAATGTAGACATGAAAACAAATTTTTACTTAAAAATCGAAAACTGAAATGAATAAATACTAATAAACAAAATAATATAAAAAACAAGTAAAATAAATTAACCCAAACAAATAATAAACAAATTAACGAACCACTCCCGTTAGAATAGACAAAATAGAATAAATAAAAATAAAAATAAAATACATAAAATACAAGTAAAAATAATCAACTCAAATAAATAAAGTAAATA